TGAAAAGCAACATAAATGTTATGTAAAAAATTAACAACACTGTTAATCTGTTATTAGTAACGTCAATCGACACTGCAGTATAAAATGTGTTATTTTAACACTTATACGCATTGAATATCTACATAACACAAAATGTTGAGATAATATAAACACAATAAATTAACGTACGAATATCTTTTCTAACATGAATGTTAACATAAGCATTTTAACAAGAACTGATTTTAATACGAATACAAAATGATTTTTCTGTGCAGATAATTTTGAAATTGATTATTCTTCAAGCATCAACATGTAGAAAATGATCGTAAATAAATATTTATAGCATGAAAAGATAAAGCTATATAATGTTATATTTCAAAATTCTCGATTGATTCTTCAAGTCGGATAGTTTGAATTTGCACAGTTAATATAGAATTAAAATTTCGACTCGAGCAGCATCTTATATGTCTAGGTATTTCATTGATTCTCCAAGTTCGACAACATTTCTAAGGTTAATATAAAACCAAAATTTCGACGAAAAGAAACTGTTTAGATCCGTTTAATCATGCTACATGTTGTACCGATTGTTTACATTTGTGTGATGGAAAAAAGGACTTATAAAAAGGACGTAATTCTATCGTTACCAATGTCAATGAGCGGAATTGGTAACAAGCGTCCTAAGTGGAAAAGTGAATCTATTGAATTTATTAAAGGCTATTTATGTTTTTATCGCTCGTGTGTCGGAATGTGTGCGTTGCGTGCCATTATCTACAAAGTGTTTATTACATCCGCAATTCCATTACCGAATTGCAATTTTATTGTCGTATCACGTCACGAGCCCGTGAAAATAACGTTTCTGGTGGCGTGTACGCTCGCCTCGGGGCGTACCGGAATTCGTACGGTCGAAAAGTTTCGTTAAAAGTCTCGTAAGCCATGATGGGATCATCCCTCCGTAATCACAGCTATTACCTTGAGCGCGCTTGTGTCAGAGTGCGTTGCACATGTACGAAACGATGCCCGGGGCAATCGATAATCCGAGGTGAGTAAAGGTGAAAAGGGGTAGGTGTGAAACGAGCGGTGAGGGTGAGTGGAAGGTTTTCACGGATAATGGGGGCGGTAGATTTTGTTCGCGTCAAGATGAGGGCGGATCGAACACCGAAGGAGCATCAACGTGACGTTCGAGTCGATCTCGTGCGATAACATTTTGCGTAATTCGATAACTGCTACGCCCTCCGGCCGTTTCGCTCCGATAGCGGAGCGAGATAACTGCTTAACATTTTATTAGCGATACGGACAGCTAAGTATCCGCGCAACGTTGTGTAAGACTACATTTCTTCGTGTGTATTCCGCGATAATATTGGCTCCGAGCGCTAAAAATCTAACACAAATCCAAGATAGACATTTGCGAACGTATACATAAAAATTATTTAAACGACAGATGAGTTAATAAGGAACTAGTTAGTATTGTAAAATTAAAAGTTGTTTGTTTATGTTTTTTGCACATGTAACGCGAGATAATGAAATTTGCATTTGTTAGGAAAAATATTTAAATGTTTGATTAATATATCACGCGCATATTTGTTAAAGTATTTAGCGTGTCATTACTAGAGCGCGCAGAATTTTAGGGATGCAGCTTACGCTTATCAGCATATTAGGTTACCTGGTTATTTGGGTGTCGGATTATGTAAATTTCCGTGTATTAGTATATGCGATCGATTAATTTACACGTATATTGTCACATTACGGCGGGCGTATGCGGCGAGTGAAGAGTCTCACGACCTAATGAAGTATACGATAACGCTCGCTAATTTGTTACACCGCCAATAGCGAATGGTAATAATTTGTAAAAAGTATAATTCTGCGTAAATTCGCGTAAATTTAAATGTTCATTAATTTTGCAAGAGTTCGCTCAGTCACGTTGCGTAAAATGGATGTATATATGTTCTCGTCCGAGGAGCTCGCTAGACTACGATACAGGGAAGTTTCCTTCGGAGCCGTTTCTTCTTCAACAATGGAATCAAATCGCCCGAGGAGTCGGGAGAAAAGGGTGCTACCCGGATAATGATATTCAGAGGTAGTGCAAACTTTTCGCATAAATGAAGACTAAGAGATGAATAACCTCGGCGGAATTAATGAGGAATTATCGGGAAAATAAAGAGGTAGAGTAGCGGAACACTTTAAATAAAAGACCTCGCAACCGATCGAACGGTATTAAATACGTGAACAAGAAAGTTCACGAGGAGAGCGGAAAGGGCACGGAACTCTTTTTGCAAATTAATGATCTTCATGGTATAAAATTAGATGATACGACCCGAGCAATGAGTATCCAATAAGAAATATAAGCTGTCGAGGCTTTCATGACACATGATTTGCTTCATAGTCTACTCATTTGATTTCATCGACGATTTTGACTTAGAAAGATTATTTTTTTAAGAACTCCGTTCGCAAAGATTTGCAACATTAGCGGCTGATTATCCACGAGTTAATGCAAAGTAAAATCTATCGCGCAACAATGATTTTCGGATGCTTGCTAATCTTACATCGTAAACAGAAAACGAATAACAAATCGATCAATGATTTTTTATTGTACTTACACTAGAGAGAGAGAGAGAGAGAGGAATTATAGATTCGGTTATACGACGAATTATAAATCCTCGGCGACCGCTTAATAGCTTCGAGAAACAACTCACCTGTAACAGAAAGAAGCGTCATCGTTAGATAAAATTATACGGAAGCCGCGCATCGTATCTGACGCTCTAATACAAAGCCAATAATGCAAACGATAATAGGAGATTTATGACGTAATCGACAGCGGTGGAGCTATCGTAACCGTTATAATGTGGCTTTGTGGGAATTACATTTCGACAAATGCATTCCAATCACGTGCGATCGACATGCGATGTTCTAGCGGAAGCAATCACGGTGTATAAGTTGCTTCAGAGAATTTAGCACGTTTCTCGCGCAGTTTTCCTCGCAGTCGCACGCGGGAACACGAAGTCACGGATTCAACGCTCGCGCGTAGCTTCGCATTGAAACTCGGCGCGTCAAATAATTTCGGGCATTGCGAAGCGCGCGCGCGCGTCGGCATTTCTTTTTCCCTTCGCCGATAACCTTTAATGAAAACCTCGTCGATGGATCGTAAGCGAATGACGTAACGCGATTTTAATATCCTCCTTTAATTAGGAACGAAACTATTAATTGCCACGAGGAGGAGCAAATTCATCTTTGCGCTCGAGCGAAACCGAAGGGTGGGGGATGGTGACTGACGGAGTATCGCGGTCGAGAGGGGTTGCATATTCCGGGGCCTGCGTCCCCGCAGCAGCCCTTGGCGTCGTTTCAATCCCCCTCAACCCTCTGCTAACCCCCAGCTGCCCCCCCCCCTCTTCCCCACCGTTATATCTCCACCGCCGCTTTCCTCACCCACTCTTCTCGGCCAATCTCCTACCTCGGTACTCCACCTCGCGGGCGCATATTGAAATATAATTAGGGGTGGTTTAATAAGCGACGGTCTGCGGCTTTCGCTAAGTCTCAACAGCGTAAGCAGCGGCCTGTTAACCGATACGTCGGCCGTGTTCTCGTCTAACGAGCTACGAGCTCCGGCTTTGCTGCGGTTGCATCGCGCCTCGGACGCAAGCCGACATGAAATGTGCAGCGCGCGGCCTGCATATGCACGCGCCACTGCATTCGACAGGCTTCCTCCCCCGACCGACTGTCCGGCCGGATACTACGCGAAAGCTGCCGCGCGGATGCGTCATACGTCTGGGGGCGATTTTATATCCGGCCGCGATACCCTTTCCGGGCGCGGGGTTATCTTTAAGAAAAATTGCACGGGGAGAAACGGCTATCGTGGACTTCGTAGAAACCGAGTGACGAGCGGTATTATAATGAAACTTCTTTTCGGTATGATAACGACACAAATGAACGTCTGTGCGATAAGCAAACCCGGCCGTTCGCGTGTGACTACTGTGTATTCACGATATTCGAGCAATTAGTTCGACGTGCACGTATTCGCGAGAATAGCTGACGTTATTGTTACTTCCTATCCAGCGCGATACGTCACTCACACGGTGAAGAATTTTATGTCAACGGTCAACTGAAATCTCCGTGTTACTTTAACAAGGTGAATATGTTGAAAAATAACATGTTAACAAGGTGAATATATTAATTTGATGCATATTTGTACACCTGACATATTCCCCATGTTAAAGTAATCAAAATTTCAACAGGCCGGTTTTCAACGCAAAACCTTT